CTATCTCGTTTGGTCCTGAAGATGAAGCGGACCTAGACGATTTCCATTGTGACCCTCTCCTCATCACGATTAACGTTGGAGGGTACGACGTCGCTCGCGCCTTCGTTGATCAAGGAAGTTCGGTGGATGTCATATCCTACGAGTGTTTCCTACAAATGGAGCTTGACCTCCCGATCTTCCCCGTCACCACGCCGATATTCGGGTTCACGGGGGGATCCCTGACGCCGGTTGGACAAGTTAAAATCCCTGTCACTATAGGAACGCCACCTCGAACACGCACTCAAACTGTCAATTTCGTCATTGTCGAAGGATCGCCAACCTCGTATAATATCGTGATAGGGCGACCGATGTTACATACCTTTCGGGCAGTCCCTTCGACCATTCATCAAAAGCTTAAGTTTCCAATTGATGGAATGGTGGGAGAGGTCAGGGGCGACCAAGCCCAATCGAGATCGTGTTATGTCGAAATGGTTAAGATAGCAGAGAAAGGCCGACGCGATACCCTCACCAAAGAAGATTTGGGAGACGAGAAGCGCCCCCGAGTTGACCCAGAGGATAAAGTTAATCATGTACAACCCATGGACGAATTGATGACAATCGACCTCGTCCCCGGGATGATGAAACAAACCCGGATAAGTAAGGATTTAGAACTACCTCTTCGGGACGAGTTGATAGCGTTATTGCGGTCTAATGAAGATGTTTTTGCTTGGCAACCAAGTGATTTGACCGGTATATCGCCGCGAACTGCTGTACACAGGCTTAATTTACGACCCGAGTGCAGGCCCGTCAAGCAAAAACGGCGACACTTCGGTACCGAAAAAGACGAAATCATACAGAAGGAAGTTCAACGACTTCTGGAAATCGGACACATCCGGGAAATTCAGTTCCCTACATGGCTGTCCAATGCGGTGTTAGTACAGAAAGCCAATGGCCAATGGCGAATGTGTATCGATTTCAGGGACTTAAATAAGGCTTGCCCGAAAGACGATTATCCTTTACCTCGCATAGATCAGCTTGTAGATGCCACTGCTGGATGCGAGCTACTTAGTATGATGGATGCCTCGCAAGGATACCACCAAATTCCGCTAGACAAAAAGGACCAGCCAGCAGTAAGTTTTGTCACCGCCACGGGGACTTACTGTTACGTGGTGATGCCTTTCGGCCTGAAAAATGCAGGAGCCACGTATCAGCGATTGATGGATAGGATGTTTCGGGCCCAACTCGGACGCAACATTGAAGTTTATGTTGATGACATGTTAGTTAAAAGCAAGAGGCGCTCTACGCATCTCGCGGACCTAGCTGAGACCTTTGCAACTCTTCGTTTATATGGAATGAAGTTAAACCCTGCTAAGTGTGCATTCGCAGTACAAGCTGGAAAGTTCCTGGGATACGTTGTTAATCGGGAAGGCATCAAGGTAAACCAAGATAAAGTGGAGGCCGTACTTCAGATGACACCTCCTCGTTCCATCAAGGAAGTCCAGTCCTTGGCAGGAAAAGTTGTAGCCCTAGCTCGGTTTATATCGCGAATGGCTGATAAGAGCCTGCCTTTCTTCAAAGTACTAAGGAAAACAGCTCAGTTCGAATGGACCACCGAATGCCAGCTCGCATTCGAAGCATTAAAACGATCTCTTACTTGCTTGCCGATTCTTAGCACCCCTGAAAAGGGTGAAACCCTGTTTGTATACTTGTCAGTGGGCGATAAGTCCATCAGTTCGGTTTTGTTTAAGGAAGTTAATAATCAACAAAGACCGATCTACTATACTAGTAAGATCCTCACTACGTCGGAAAGCCGATATTCTGAAGTCGAGAAAATAGCATACGCGCTGGTCCTCACTACGCGACGACTCCGGCCTTATTTCCTTTCGCATACCATGGTGATTCGCACAAGCTTACCCCTTCGGCAGACCCTAGGTCAACCTACCGCGTCAGGGCGAATTGTTAAATGGGCCATCGAGCTGGGACAGTACGAGATTCAATATCAACCCCGTACCTCGGTCAAAGGGCAAGCGCTAGCGGATTTCATCCGAGAAACCACCAGGATACCCATCGAAAAAGAGTGGAAAATTTACGTGGATGGTTCATCTACGACCTCAGGAGCGGGGGCAGGGATAATAGTTATTGATCCCACTGGAACGGAAGTCGAGTTTGCCGTTAGGTTACCTCGGGTCTCCAATAATGAAGCAGAGTATGAAGCCTTTATCCGAGGTATGGAGATCGCTCAAGAGCTCGGAGCGCGAGTGGTGCGAATATACTCCGACTCTCAATTGGTAATACACCAACTCGAAGGGGACTACGAAATAAAAAACGATAGAATGAAGAGTTATGTAAATAAAGCCCGAGCTGTACAAGAAACTTTTGAGGTCTGTACCATGCATCAAATTCCGAGAAACGACAACCAGCGAGCTGACTTCCTCGCTAAAGTCGGGTCGTCAGTCGTCGATTGTATTGAAAGAAAGATCACTATCCTTATTGCCCCTACCCCAACACCGGGCATAATGGTAATAGACGAAGAGCCCGATTGGAGAACGCCTTTGTTCAAATACTTCAGAGGAGAGCGAGCTGGGACCAAGAGAGAGCAGCACCGCTTGGCATATAAGGCAATGCACTTTTACGTACGGCATGGGACATTATATAAAAGGAACTTCACCACAGTAGATGCAAGGTGTCTGGGAAAGCAGGAGATAAAGCATGTTCTGGATGAAGTACATAGAGGTGGTTGTGGTGAGCATGGAGGAGCTCGGGCCCTCATGCAGAAATTACATCGGGCCGGGTATTACTGGCCTGGCATGAAGAAGGACACGCACCGATATGTTCAACACTGCGTACAATGCCAAAAATATGCCTCGCTCATCCACAAGCCGGGGGAGGAAATGACCATCATGAGTGCCCCATGCCCTTTCGCCCAATGGGGAATCGACCTGGTGGGGCCATTCCCTCAAACCACGGGTCGGAAAAAGTTCATCATTGTCGCGGTAGACTACTTTACTAAGTGGGTTGAAGCTGAAGCCTTATCGAAAATCTCAGAAGACGAGGTCATGCACTTCATTTGGAAAAATATCTGCTGTCGGTTTGGCCTACCTCGAAGCCTTGTATCGGACAACGGCACTCAGTTCAACGGCAAGAAAATTCGAGCGTGGTGCGAAGAGATGAAAATTGCACAAAAATTTGTAGCAGTAGCGCACCCCCAGGCCAATGGACAAGTGGAGTCCGTAAACCGGACCATTGTCAATGGGTTGAAAAAAAGGTTAGACGAGCTAGGTGGAAGTTGGGTAGACGAGTTGCCCTCCGTCCTCTGGTCTTACCGGACCACAACCAAAGCAGCTACTGGCGAAACACCGTTCCGGTTAACCTATGGAACTGAAGCAGTTATACCGGTCGAAGTGGCAATGGACACGCTCCGCATCGCCGCATTTGACGAAGTAACAAACGATGATGCTTTAAGATCACAGCTGGACGAAGTTTTCGATCTCCGGGAAACGGCGTATTTGCACATGGAGAGAAGTAAAAACTTGATCAAAGCTCGGTATGATCAGGGGGTGCGGTCCCGCTCATTCCAGATCGGAGACCTCGTCTTGCGACGAGCTGACGCGCTAAAACACACGGGAAAGTTGGAGGCTAATTGGGAAGGACCATACACAGTCACCAGGTGTTTGGCCGGCGGAGGGTATGAGTTGGCAGACATCAACGGGAAGCCGTTACCTCGGGCTTGGAACATAATACATCTGAAACGCTTCTTCGCGTAAAAAAAAAAAAAAAAAAAAAAAAAAAAAAAAAAAAAAAAAAAATTTAGCGCACAGCCCCCAAAACAGTGTTTCTTTAGGGGGGTAATCACCTAATAAAATTTGATCATAGGGATTTTTTGCTAATATTTACAACACGAGGAGTTTTTTGATCAATTCGGAATAACATAGGGGTACTAAATGCAATAAACCCGGAAAAAAAAATTCCATCGAATACATGCGTTCTCTCTTGAAATTTTATCTCAATATGCAAGCTTTATTTAATATTTATTGAGCGTGCAGGAACACTTTGAAGATGAGAAGCTCTGTGTGTTTTTAATCGAAAAGGCATTACGCAAATTCCGAGGTGGAAAACAAGAAATACTCGTTATAGTTGATCTCCGAGGCTTTCGTGCAGAAAATACCGACATTAAATTCGTAACGTTTGTGGTAAATGCTAAAAACTTCGATCGTATTACTTAATTTTTTTTAATAATTTTCTTATGTTATCTTTGGTTATGTGCAGTTTGATGCATTCGACTGCTACTATCCGAGGCTATTGACCGAAGTCCTGTTTGTGGACGCTCCGTTTATATTCAAACCAATTTGGCTGATGATTAAGCCCTTGTTGAAATCATACGCCTCTTTGGTAAGTATATTTTTTTTCGGATATTAATTTGTTTTCATTTTTCGAAAAATTGCGTATAATTGCATATCGAATCGGCCCTATTTTTTTTTTTTTTTTTTTTTTTTTTATTAATTTATGATATTTGTAGGTGAGGTTTTGTTCGGCGAAGGATGTTCGAAAAGAGTATTTCCGAGCAGATACTATTCCAGCTAACTTCAGGGAGTGATGAAGTGGAGGCATTTACACTATATGGAAATACTAATTAGGGTAAATTACGGCCACCTCCTGAGATAATGTCAAATTCCAAAAAAAAAAAAAAAAAAAAAAAAAAACTACTGAATGATGGTTTTTTCGTAAGACAATACATAGTTGATGGGTAGTTGTAATTATCTAATATAAGAATTTTTTTTTCCGTAATTTGACCTTATTTCAGGGGTGACTGTAATTTGCCCTATTAATTAATATAGATAAATCTCAAAAAAAAAAATTAGGCTTTATAATTATAATGCGTAAGTAAGCTCTGTATATAACTTAACGCTCTAACGAAGCTCTATGTTACGTTCAATTTTATTTACTTAAACTCTATAATTAACTCTAACTAACTTACTGCAATGTCTAACTAAACCCTTTCTTTAAATTACTCGAGATGTGTTCGTTTGTTAAGCTGCTAACCATGAACATAACTAAGCTCTGTAATCGAGCTATTCTCTTAATTCTATGTGTAAGCCTATTTTTTTGTGATTCTCTTCACCATTAACTAATTAAGCTCGATCTCAAACAAGTTTCTCGTACAATTCTTTCTAAGTAAGTCTCTAACTAATCTTAACGTTTAAACTCTCAGTTCAATCATTCTACAAAAGTTCTTTACTAGCTCTAATTTATCAAACTCGACAATAAAATTAGTTGAAATGCATGTTTGCTTGCTGAGATCTTGCTTATTAATGTAACTAAGCTCAGTAAATTTACTATTAAATTACTTCCGGATAAGCTTTTGTTCTATTCAATTTGTACTTCTAAATAAGCTCTTGCTCATTAATATAACTAAGCTCTGCAAATAAACTTTTATTTCTATTTATTTATTTTTAGTCGAACTCTCCAACTAAACTAGGCAAATAATCTCTATGCTCAATATTCATATATTAGATCTCGAAATCTCCCATGACGAGCTTCGTATACTTAGTCATATTTATCGAGAATCGAAAACTCGGTCGGAGTTTCATTACAAGATTGTGTGGAGAAAAACGATCCAGTCGTACTTTGAGAAAGAAACTAAGGGGTAACTTCGTCATTAGCAAAATAAAAGAAATTTTAGCAAATAAGCAAAAATCAGCTAATTTTCTTTTCCCTTTAAAAAAAAATCAAAAGACCGCATAAGAGACTATATATGAACGTGTTACGAGCTTCTCTGCTTTTCGATTTCCTACAGTACTTTCCAATTACAACTAAAGTCGCACAACTCATTTTTACCAATATCATATATTTAGCAACCCCACTACCTAAACTTTATTGTCAAGTTCAAGGGAATCCATCATCGTCATCTGATTGTTTATTAAAAAAATGGGATTTCGAAGAATCTTGATTCTGGTAATTACTCTGTTCATAATAATTAAAGAAAAGGTTGATTGCAAGAAGACGGTAGAATCACCACAGTACACAGTGATTCATACAGAATCTGATTTTGAGGTTAGATTTTATCAACAATCTGTTTGGATGATCTAATCTCTTTTGAAAAATCCACCAAATTTGGCTTCCACAGGTACCTCTCTCTCTCTCTCTCTCTCTCTCTCTCTCTCTCTCTCTCTTGTTAAAAAAAGGGAAAATTGCACATCACCCCCTGTAAATTTCTAATTATCGCCCTTTACCCCCTCAATTTTTTACAAGTGAATGTCCCCTTTCGAAATATTATAGCAAAACTCCGATGGGTTATTCATCGGAATTGAGTATTTTTGTTGCTTGTGGCCCCTTTAAATTTTATTTTTATTGCATGTTAGCCCCTTTAAAATGTTATTTTTGTTACACAGTTGCATTCAAAAATTGTCTTATGGGGAGTGCAATGAAAATAATATTTCGAAGGGGCATTTTTTCAATTTCGTTTTTTTCTAAATTAGGACAAATTGCGTTTCAACCCCTATAATTTTTTTTTATTTTGGTACTCTCCCCCTAAAAATTCACAAAAGCGATATTCCCCTTTTGAAATATTGTTTTGGTTGCACTTTGCCCATCTGCCAATTTGGCGTCAGTGCAATTAAAATAACATTTTAAAGGGGCAACGTGGAGAAATAATGGTTATGTTTGTTAAGCTTTTCAAATTCTTTTCACACTTTCCCCAAAATGAAAATTATCTTTTCACACTATTTTCAAAAACTTTCCCCAAAACAAATTCAAATATTTCTCTCTCTAACAAACATGATTTGACCGCTACAGTGAAAATTGTCTTCACTAAAATACAAAATCAAATCACTTTATCATTTAAATTCTTCTTCCAAAATACCTTTTTCCAACACCTTTCAGACATGATTTGACTTGCTACAGTACAAATTGTCTCCTCCCAAAACACAAACAAACTTTATTTAATTTTCAAATTTTTCTCCCAAAACATCTTTCCCCAAAATAAAATGGAAATGGAAGCCCAAAAGCTTACCAAACACAGCCAATGTTTTTAAACATGCATAAAAAATAACATTTAAAGGAGCAACGTGCAACAAAAACACTCAAGTTAGGCGAATAATCCATGGGAATTTTGCTATGGGGTAATCTGCAATAAAATTAATATTTTGAAGGAGACATTCACTATTTAAAAATTTTAGGGGTAAAGTGCGAAAATATGAATTTCATAGGGGGTGACGTGCAATTTTCCCTTAAAATTACATATAATATCGATATTATTAAGTATTTTATATTATAGGTGACTAGAAAGACGTAAAATTCCGAATTCCGTCGATTATGATCCGAAATTTTCCAATTGTGGAACAAGTATTTTTAATTCCGATTTTCAAAAAATTTCAGAAACGGAATCGAAATTAGTTTTTCACTTCCGATCCGATTCGATTTTCACCCCTAGTTTGGACTAATCAAACACCGAAAGATGCCTATACATGTACTCATTCCAAAATTCTATTGCAAATTGCAGATTATTTCAGTACATAGAAGGCGCGAACTTAAACAATTCAAGAATACAAATGACAGTCCCGGTTCTGACAACCATTGTCCAACGGGCGGGCCCACTTCACTCATCAGCATACTCCGTGAAATTCTACCTACCGGAGAAGTTCCAGCAGACCCCACCACTTCCACTTCCCGAGCTGAACCTTCGACCCGATTGATCGAAAAGTCGTTGCATTGCCGTGAGGAAATTTTCGGGATTCGCCAGGGACGAAAACGTCGTTAAGGAGGCTGAGAAGCTGGCTGTGAGTTTGAGTAGGTCACCGTTGTTCAACTTAACTTCTTCTCCTTCTTACGATGGTGATGCTTACTCCATTGCGCAGTATAATTCGCCTTTTAGGTTCGTTTCTCGTGTTAATGAAGTGTGGTTCGATGTTAGTGGAATCGAGATCGAGGGCTGTGATGAATCCAATAATCTATTGTCTGAATATTGAAGCTCTTCGGCTTGAAGACTAGTATAAATCGATAGTCTAAGAGATGATATAAAAATTCAGTTACGCACTGTAAACATTCGGATTATAGAGAGAGAAACAGAAGTTGATTGAACGAGTAGTATTGTTATCTATTCTTGAAGATCTGAGAATCCTTGTAATTGGGAGATTTATAGTTTTCATCCCTCAAGTTTGCAATGATTTCGCATTTCGTCCCCATGTTCGGAAAAAAAAACACATTTGGTCCCTCATGTTTTAATAATTTGACACTTTTGGTCATTTCCGTCAATTTACTGTGAGTCCATCAGTTACGGTAGTGATGGGAACACGTTTCATTCTGTTAGTTTTAACTGAAAACTGACGGAAATGACTAAAAGTGTTGAATTTTTGAAACATGAGGGACCAAATGTATTTTTTGCGAACATGGAGGACCAAATGTGAAATTAGAGCAAACTTGAGGGACGAAAACTATGTTTTCCCCCCTTGTAATGTGTACTCAATCTGTTGTTCGTGTGATTGAACGAGAGCTCCTCACTGCTAAGTGGATGTAGATAAATTGATCGAACCACTATAAATCTTGTATTTTTCGTTTCGGTTCATTCAATCCAATTTTGCATGTGATTAGGGTTTGTTCGTATGAATTCGATCATTCGAGTTTGCTAGGTGTTTGATCTATTTCCGAGCTCGATTCTTGTGGTTGTTATTGTCGATTTGTAACCTGTTTTCAACAAAATGAAATAGCAAACTCTATAGTTATATTGTCTCTCATAAATCATTAATGGAATTAACGCGGAATCTAAAATAATTTCCATTTTTTCTTCCATTACGAAACTAAATTTTTCGACATATATCAAGCGTTTGGAAAAGTGACGAGGCATTTTTCGACCGGTTAGAAAGGCGACGCGGGTTCTTTCTAAACAGTAGAAGAATCAATAAATCAATGCAGCTACAATTTATTTAATTCGGCTGGCATTTCGGACAAAAATAAGATGTTTTTGCGACAACGTTTTTTCGTCCCAACATAGGCAACTTAACTTGACAACTATAAACAATGATCATAAGAAATAAAAGCAAAACAAATGTGACTAATGTCGAAGGTATAACCGTTATACTATCTTTCAGAAATAAAACGCCGTTTCTCGATTTTCCAGAGTGAAGCCATAGAAACTCCGTCTCGATTAGCGAAGCGCCTAACGTCCAAGTAATATCTCCAGGCCCGAATATTATTTCCACGTCACTCAAACAAAGGGCATTTTCTATAAGTGAAATCAAATAAGGCAGTCGAAAGCAATCTTGACCGTTGATTCGTTTCTGACCTGAGCATAAGTTCTGCCCCATCTCCCACATCGTAGTCAGATTCGCCCTTCGGCTCAAATTTAGCGCATTGTATACGGCAAAAAAACCGGATAATGCGTGGTATCTCGATACGGCATGCAAGTTTTTCGTTAAATTGAGCTTTTTATTGCCTGCAGACGACAAAAAATTATAAAGATTAATAAGAATATTTAACTCGATGAAAGATAATACTCTCGAAAAAAAAATCGACTGACTACCTCCGTAAGAAAACAAGCCGATGCAGTTTGAATTATAAAGCTGGTGCGACGACTCCGAATTGCTAGAATTAATTGCGGCCGCCCTTGCGATTATTCCACACTTCTCCCAATTCGGTTCCCCGACGAGAAAAACGGGATTTAACTCGTTTTTCTCCTCATGTACACGATTGCTCGAATTTCTAGAAACTACAAACGTGTAATTTTTGACAAAACCAGAACCGAGACAAGGATGTCTAATCTCAAAAACGCCACCAACACTTTCCCTCTTCGCCCGAGTACGACTAAGCATAACAATTGTCCTATCGAAAGCTTCGTTGAGCCCAAAAGCTGGTAACGAATACGCTACAATATCATGTTCGAACGTCCCGATTTTCGACCTTAAAGCATGCTTGTCTTTCGTTGAAGCATCCATTTCAGCCACAACTTGCAACGACGAGCCGCCTAAATCAAGAAGCCCTAACGTGGGAATCTTCTTCGAAGAACTTTCGAGCACTCCCGTTTTGTAATTAAGAGCAACCCAACCGTAATACGCCTCTTCTTTCCCACTCAAAACCCTAATCCAATTCTTGTTATACAGAAACCCATGCTCTTTCACGACATTTTCAACTTCCGCCAAAACCCGATTAGCGTTTTTGGCCACTAATCTCCTCATTCCCGCTGTCGCTAAAACGAATATAGGCGTTGAAGCACGTTTCTCCAAAGGTACCCGTTGTTCTGCGTATCTAATCAACGGCTGTATCGAGCCCCTCACACCGAATACATTGTTCACGAAATTATGCAATCCGGGCTCGGTTTGCATGCAGTGATACCGACAGCCATTGCTCTTGTTCGCGTTATCGGGGTAAATACGCAACAAAAGGGGTAAAGTTCCGTAAACTTTGCTTCCGTTTCTGATCATCCATTCATACACGTTTACCCTCGAGCCGGTGCTACCACAATCCAACACCACAGTGAAATATGTGCTCATGTTTTCAGACAAAAAAAATCGATCTTTGAAAAATAAATATCCACCGATTACTCCCAAAATTAAGATTATCGAAAGGGTGATTATAACAAATTGGCGCGATCTGGGTTTGTACGAAAGCCCTGTGATTTGAATTTTTGATTTCGAAGGCGATTTGGGCTCCATTTGAAAACTTCAATTATTTAGGGCACACCCGAAATTACCATTGATCTGCTAAACATCTTCTTCAGTTTCGAAAGGGGAGCCACAACGCAGTAGATTTCATGGAATCTGCGGCGGCAACAGCTGTAATCAAAATCGTAATTTGAATAAACCGGAGCAGAACTGAATTTGAAATCACAATCAGGCGTCGAATCAATTGATAAACAATTTCAAAAAAAAAATGAGATGGAAAGGTGTTCGATGAAATGCCAACGTACCTTTCCGATGGGCACCGATGAGATGTTCGCAGATCTACGGTAGCTCCGGTGGGGCGGGGTTATTTGGACAGCTGGACTACAGAGAGAGTTCACTGTACATGATTACTGTTGTAGAACAAATTGGGAAAAATACAGTTTTTATCCCTCAAGTTTGCACTGATTACCTATTTAGTCCCTCATGTTCACAAAAAACACATTTGGTTCCTCATGTTTCAAACATTCAATATTTTTAGTCATTTCCGACGATTTTCCGTTAGTACTAACGGAATCAAGTGTGTTCGGCGAAAACTGTAATTTTCCCGGAACAAATTACATGTGGCTTCAATTTCTTTTTTCTTTTCTTCCTTTTCTGATGCTGCTCAAATGCCAATTGGGCAACCCAAGAGTCCTGAGTCCACAAAGATAGAGAATGCCGTGAGTCACTGCCACGTGTCCGAGGTAGTTGAAGGGACTGCTCCGTTCGTTAACCTACAAAACAATTGAAACACTAGATGACACACCGGGTTTGGCCCGACGATTACCTTCCGACGCTCAAGTCAGAAGATGTATTAATATAAGCAAATAATAGTAATTAATTGCCAAATTAGAGTGTACCTTCCTATGTGAAATGAAACATACATTTATAGGTGGATGAATAGGTATGACTAATGTGTTGTCATTTAAAGATAAAAAGTAATCTAATTGAGTTTTCACACACAATTAGATTAATTAGGGCAATTTGGACCTAATCTTAATTAGATTTGTGGGCCTAATTATGATTAGACACATCATTTTCTTTTCCTTTTCCAATAATGAAATATTTATGAATTTTATATATCATAAATTTTATTTGTTCCGCAAATATTGGGTTTTATATATTTATTGTAAATTCTTATTTACTTTTTTTTTTTCTTGTAAAATTCATTTGCTACTTTGTTTGGCACAAGATTTACATACAAAAATGCAACGAAAAATAAAACAAAATGTCCCACAAGGGATCGTACGATTCTAGCAGACGTTGTGTCATTTCGAATTCTCTTGCCAACAATCGTCAGATCGATTTGGTGCGGAATTCAATCGATCTTTATTCGCACAGTGCTCCTATATAGTTAGTTGATTGCGGAATCCGAATTTGCCTTTATTTCCCGGCTATATATTTTATTGAACCATAAGTTGATAATTTCACCAGTTTTTTACTTTTATATTAAGGGTGATGATATCAACATAATTAACATCGAAATTAAGAGATGCAAGTGGTTAAAAATCAATTAACCAGAACTTGACATTACTAATACATAAAAAAATGGAACATAAGTTTGGATTAAAAAAAGAAAAAACACATAATTAAGACATGATTAGTGAGAAGCATCTTCGTCTTCACAGAATTTAGTGTACTCCTTTGGTCCCATTAAAGATTCCAATTCTGAAGGATTGCTTGGCTTCACCTTTATCATCCATCCATCTTCATATGGGCTTGAATTTATCTTCATTTTCGTCAATTCCCCAAAAAAACAAAATTAATTAATTAATAATAATAATAATAATAATAATAATAATGGTAAATTACGGATACCTCCTTCATATAAGGCTAAATAACTTATACACCCCTTAAAATTAACAGACTATTATAAACTGTAACGGAATGAATGAATTGTCTAAACTACCCTTATACGAAAAAGAGAAAAAAAACTATTGGTAAATTAAATGTGCCCATGAGGTAAGACAAAATATTAGATTCAACGCAGGGGTAGATCTGGCAATTCACATCGAATATTCCATTAGTCATTGCTTCGTGAAGGTGTAACTGTTGGACGAAACAATAGTTGAGGGGAGTATTTGTAATTTTTTTTTTTTGGTAATGCAGGAACCCGCAGCCAACCATATAGGTGCACTGGGTAAACCTACACACTCTCGTATAATACCTTGCAAAGCATACGAGAGATGTAAACCACACTAGGCTAACCATGTGTGACAAGCTCGACCTAGCGACCGTTGGCAAGGGGATTCGAACTTGGGTCAATTGACCCAAGCTCTCTTGCTCCAACCGCTAGGCCACCCTTGCGGGTTATGTGAGAAAGTTATTTGATCATACCTCAAGCGTTTTCTAGTAATTTACCATAATAATAATAATAATAATAATAATAATAATAATAATAATAATAATAAGTGGGGATGATCAAACATTATTAATTAATGATTAATATAGAGGTGTGTAGAAGTAATTAATTACCAAACCGGGAGACTCGGTAAGCTTGGTGTTGACCTCGACGACCTCGCCGGAGATGGGAGAGTTGATATCACTGGTGGCTTTCACACTCTCCACCGCGCCGAAGCTGCTCGCCTGCTCCACCGCTTTCCCTCCATCCGGCAACTCCACAAACACCACTTCTCCCAAATGGTCCTGCCAAACACATCATCATCCACGTCAAAAAAAAGTTTAAAATAAATTTATTCTCTCTCTCTCTCTCTCTAGCTCTCTCTCTTTCTCTCTCTACACACACACAGACAAACACACAGTACAGTACCTGAGCATGGTCAGTGATGCCAATGGTGGCGATGGAGCCGTCGTGCTTCACCCATTCATGTGAGGTGGCATATTTGAACCCCTCCAGCACTGCATCAAAATTATATATATAAATTAATATTAAAATTCATTAATCATAAAATATATATATAATAAGTAAATAAAGTACCAGTAGAGAAGGTTCTAGAGAGAGAGAATGCAGGAGCGAATCTAGAAGAGGAAGAAGAAGAAGAGAGCCTCAGAGCATTGGCTGTAGAAGAAGCCCACATTCTCAGTGCCATTGTTGTATATTATCTGCTTACTCTTTTTTTTTTTCTCAGGAGGGGAAAAATGAAAGAAGAAGGGTTGATAGAATATAGAGAGATGTATTAGCCTATTTTCTTTATTATCTTTTATGGATGGTTCAAATTAAAAGCCTCATCTTTTGATTTCTGACCGGTGTGTTGAGTTGCTTTTTCTTTTTTCTTTTTTTTTTTTTTTTTTTTTTATGTTTTATATTTTATTACAAATATTTACTAAAATGCTTTCATTCAAATGTTTGGGTAAATATCACTTAACCCCTTGTTTACAAGCTGTTTTAGCTGATGATTCCCTTGTGCTAGTAGTATCAGCACACTGCATATAGCCTCTTGAAGTTTGAGACAGGCGGTTAAATTTGACCGAAAATTAATATAAGTTATCCCCTAAACCACAAAGAGGTTATGTGCTGATATTACGAACACAATAGGGTCATTTGCAAAAGCTTGTAACCACGGGGGTTTAGGTATTATTTACCCTATATGTTTCGAGTTGTCGTAAAATTTTGGAAGCTTTAACTCTCGTATAATAGTTGGCAAACCGTATGAGAGCCGTGAACTACATTAGGCTAATCATATGTGACAAGCGACCGTTGGCAAATAAATTTGAACTTGAGTCAATTGACACGTGTTCACTTGCTCCAACCGTTGAGTCATTCCTTACGGGTACCATGTCATTTTCAATAGATAATATGTAAGTGGCAAGTGTTTAGTTCAATACAAGTGAGATTATATTAATTTAGTAACTGCAATTAAATATGACTATTGAATAAATTGGAAGTATCTAATATGTTTATTTGTTATTTAGGAAAGCCATCACCATAAAATTAATTAAAAAAGTTTATTAATATTGATCCTTAATCCGCCATATATGCCAAGAGTAGTTTAGACCCAGATCTACCACAAGGAAGTAGTATTGGGCTGGGTGCAACTGTTATGTTTCTCTTGTGTACTTTAGCTAACATTAAATAATTTAATAAAATATTACTCTCTATTGGGCAAGGTAAGTCATCATAAACTAATATTGGCAAATCGACCTGATAAATTATTAGAAATATCGAACATTAAATAAAATCAAATTATTTAGTTCATAATAAATAATCTCCCAACCAAACGAGGCTTAAATAGATTGCTCGACTAAAAATTAATTTAAAAAAATCCATATATATATTATAATTTTTTTTTGAGTGTTTCCAAACAATTTTTTTTGTTCTTTTATTTCTCCTATTAGTGTAATTAGGAATATCTTGTTATAGTGTTATACTTAGATTAAGCGTTCGAGTTGGATTGTAACTAGACTCATATCTCTTATTATAAATAGGGTACCTTTACGAGAAAATAAAATACAAATCATAGTTATCATGATATTTTCCCGGAGTATTCTAATATCTACATTTATATTACATTTTCAGGACATTGAAAAGATATTCGATGTCCTTACGATCATGCGATTAGATTTTGCAGTCATTTAATCGTTTTCTGCAATCTAGTAGCTCGTCTAAATATTAATTTTATCGATTATTCATCATACTTTCGAGACTATTAATTTATAGAAATTTAATTGTATATTTTCCTTCTTTCATTTTACATTTGTACAATTTGTAGGGGTCATATTCTTACACATAGGCAATGAATTGCATTAATAAATATATTAAACAAAATCAATAAAAAAAAAATACTCTACAAATGTATTTCTCCCTTGAGTCCTTGTTAAATAAGCATATTAACTTTTCCTAAAATAGATAACCAAGTCCCTCAAAAACCCTAATTTCACAATTTTGCCCCTTTGTCGAATTTTTCCTTCCTCTATCCAAATCTCATCTATTTTCTGCAACTTTCTATCTCAAAGATAGAACTCTTTCGTTTCTGCACAAAACCTTCTCAAATTCAAGCACACACCGAAAGGGTTTATCGTAAGCTCGCTCGCTCGCTCTCTCTCTCTCTCTCTCTCTCTCTCTCTCTCTCTCTCATATGGATATTTTTGTGCGTCGTCGTATGTATTTATGCACCTTTGAATATCGATATTTGAAATTTGGAAACGAGGAAGTAATTCAATTTTTCTCCTTTGTGTTATTTTGTATGTGACGATCGTGTGGAGGAGTAGTTTCGATAATTTCGGATGATTGGTTCCTCAATTCAAATTGTTTTCTGATTACTTCACGAGACGGTGGTAAGTTTTAGCAATTTCGATTTTTCGTTTTGATAGTTCCATTTCATTTGTAGTTTTATTTTTGTGGTATTAGGATTAGCTTTCATTGAAAATAGAAGAAGGGAGAGGATTTACAGATGCCTGCATTTAATGGTGAATAAATTGATTTTTTAAGAGATAAGAACGTGTTCGACTTTTTTTTCAGGGGTCACAGTGAAAAAAATGCATTCAGTGGGAAATTCTCGTGTTTGTATAGTTTAAATGATGGCGTTGACAACAAATCAGTTTCAGGTAATAATGAATTTCGTTAATCTTTACTGCATAGATGTGAATGATATTGAGCTGATATAATGATTTCGAATCTAAGAAATTGTTTATGGAGCGACCGGACATTTTGGTGCTTAAATGAATGTTGGATGCACTGGTTGAAACAAACATTTTGATCGATGATTTATGATGTCTTGAATCAATGTTGACGCCCGGTCCAGTTTCTTGATGTTAAGCACCGATACAGATACTTTGTGTTTCATTCTAGGTTTAGGTGTCGGGCAATAACATAATCAGTTCTTTCCTTTTCATTATTGGTCTGCCGACAAAATGTAGTAAATATACCCAAGACATCTCTAACAATATTTGTGCATCACTATGCTTTATCAACTTCATTTTCATCTGCTCTTATTTTCTGAAGCATCAGTTCCTCGGTTTTCAGTTTTTTTCAATTTTAATAGAAATAGATGTTCTTGTTCACTTTATTCAGGGTTCTTGCAGCACTTTCCCCTCCATGCCTTCATCATGGAGCCGAGGAAGCAAGATAACACATTTTTTGCCTACATTCCGCCCGGTTTGCAGAAAAGATAGAATAATCTCACTGAAATGCAGATCGCATTCGAGGTAAGTGCTTGTTCATGTACAGCTCTAAGTTCATGTTGCTTACTATACCCATGTTGACTGTTTGTATCTCTATACAAATTTATATGGATCGGCATTTCTATTTTACGGGAATCATATGGTTTTGTAAGTAGAGTACCTTTCAGGACCAACTTTGGTTGGTTGCTTAAACTCTTTGTATGAAGTAGGATTTCTTTCCTTCAAAATTCTGGTATTTGAATCACTGGATAGGCAAAAGAAAATCTGTGTATTTGACGTGTTTCTGAGCATTGGATAAGTTGTTCACATATCGATTTAAGGATATTTGACAAATGGAGTAGAGTATGCATAAGTAGTGGTGTCCTGCTAGCTCTTGCCCTGCTCATGTTATTTTTATGGATAACCATTTCATTTGGAAATCATTTTATATGTTATGTACAAAAAATAGTTATAGATTGTAGACAAGTTCTCCTTTCAGATGTCGAACAATTTATAAAGAAGGGGAGGTTGATCCTATTCTTATAGCATGAGGCATACATTGAGCTTGTCTTCTCTTTGTGCATCAGCAAGTTTGTCTGGTCAAGATGCACAAATTTCTTGTGATACACTTTGCAGATCCATCAAGTGGATTTCCTGTGCATAACTTGAACTCTCTGCGCGCCAATCTACGTACTTAGCTTTCGTTACGAGATTCTTAATAATTCTACATTTTACACAATCATTTATGGATTGAAGTTATTCTGTTTATAGTGTTCATTGTGCCGTGAATTTGTGTGTTTGTTTGAAGAAGTGTCAAATGGTTCGTCTTTTCAGATACTATCCTATTATGAAACTGATCAAATACTTTGCTTCCAGTGTAGAATCTTCTGTTGCTCTTGGACTGAAGTCAAAACCATTTAAAATATTGGCCTTCAAAGGTAGCAGCCGAAATGATGATTCAGGTGGCAGAGGGTCCCTGAAAAATCCTGTTAAAGTTTCTTATTTGCAACACGAGAGTGAAGAATCCTCTGTGGAATCTCCAAATGTACAGAAAGTTGTTCCTGCCTCTTACACTGAAGCAGCAGATGAAACGACAACCAGGTCTCTGGCTATACAAAATTTATTTAGAAACTGGTTGATGTTACTCCGTACACCATCACAAACCCCACCCACGGAAGGAGGTGTTGAAGAACCTTTGTCAGTTGAAACATCGGAAACGGCAAACACTATGCAAAAGCAAGAAAGAGGTGAAATGTTGAAAGCAGTTTGGTGCTACTTTCTTGGATTGGATGCAACAATAAAGATACCCTTGTTAATCTTGTAAGCATTGCCATCTCTCTCTCTCTCTCTCTCTCTCTCTCTCTCTCTCTCTCTCTCTCTCTCTCTCTCTCACACACACACACACACACATGTGGTGTGGGTATGGTGATGGCCTGGCCTGGTTTATGTATTTGTGTGGCATGAAAACTCTTTTTTTGCTTTGAGAAAACGAAGAATTTAAAAATTCTAAACGAGTGAATATTCGGGATATTGTAATATACAACTATGGTTCCTTCACCACATCCTCCAAGGCCAGAAAGTTTATTAGGGGTGGTTTTTGTATTTATGTTGATTTCCTGGTTTCAACTTTTCTAATTCTCGTATATGTTCCTGTTATACCTCTGTGTTAATTTGTGTACATTGTTACGAGTCAATGAATATTCCCTTGATCTGTCCCCGGTTTTATCGTCTTTCGACAAAGTTATGTTTTCACAAATTCCAAATAGTAATAACGCTTGTAATTTATTCATTTCTGTTACTTTCTAACTTCACAATGACGCACCAAAATTTACTATTCCGCTGTTGATGAATCAGTCTCGTTTATTTTGCAGCACCCCATTGTACCTTGCAGTTAACCTTGTATACGGGCCAGAAGTATCGAAAGAATTAACCCCACTATGGATTCTCGGTCCACTAATCGTGGCTCTCTACATCAAGATGTTTCGTGCAATATGCGGCCTCTACGTATTCAGCTTCAAACAGACGGTCAAAGTAGTCAAGAATCTACCTACTTACTGCGTACTCGTACACGAGTACCTTTTCCGAGGGAAGCTAAAAGAAGCCATACGAGCACGCTTATGGCAACCGATAGCAGATATAAAAAATATGGACTACAAAGAAGCAGCACGAACAAAGATGAAGATTTTGCAAGAGTGGCTGGTTGAAAAGTACCTCGATTACGTCGAATCCATATGGCCTTATTACTGCAGAATAATCAGGTTTTTGAAGAGGGCGAATCTGCTATAGCATCGAATATTTTTCGTCGAAGATTCCTTTTTGGCTGCTAGTTTGTTCGTTTAGGTTGAAATGTTGAGAAGGTACAATTTGTTGAGCCCCTTTTTGTACTGGGGTTCTTCCCTTGATTCAATTAGAGAAAAAAAAGTCAACTGAAAAATGGCAGATTAGGGGTGGTCAATATTTGTACTCATTGTCTACATTTTGAGTTCCTGGTGATTTTGTGGGGCTCTCCTTTCTTGTTTCATGGTTTATAATTGAAGTGATGATCTGATTCATTTATAATAAAATTCTTTGTATGAAGAAATCCTTTATTTATATATTATTATTATTATGTGAAATTCGCGACGAGCATAGGTTAAGCCGTTATTGTAGATGCTACGAGTCTACATTTAGTGAAATGCATCGGGTAGTTTTTCATTTTGGGTTGTTTTCTGAGGTCAAGAAGAAGAGGTGCGTGGATCGTATTCATTCCATCTCTCAGAGCGAGACGATGTTCAAATCTCCATGAGGAGATTAAGTATTCTGATGTCGAGTTCTTTAGCAAATTACTTAAGAATGATGTTCCTAGTTTTCATTGAGTCCATATTGTCTGAATCTCTTTATGTATTCATCGATTCTTGATCTAGTCAAATAGGAGGTCCCAACCCGAACCCCAACCCTCGTTGAGTGTCGTTCTTTAAAAAAAGAAAAAAAAAGTCAAGTTCTATATAGATGGTCAAATCTAGTGTATTTTATTATGCAACTAGTTGAGTTATTGCACGAGAACAGAATTTATCCAAATACATTTCGAGTGACTATATAAAAAATGTGACAATCTTGGTGGCAAGATATATAAATATATCATAAGAAGAAAAAAAATCAACATTCAAATTTGGAATGTAACATGCATAAAAATCCATTCTTTAATTATTTCTTCCAAGTTTATTTCTTCTCCTGAATTTCCCTCCTCCCCAAGAACCTAGTTTCGGAACAGTAGAAAGAAGAAAAATATCCCAAAAACAAGCAAATATTCTTGAAATTCTCACCATTTCCACCACCAATTCTCAAATGGGTATCCTTAATTTTCCTGAAAATGAAATGGGGTTTCGAGTTTTTGCTTAGTATCACAAGTTTCAGCTAAACGCCGTCGTTTCCTTGTTCGTGGAGTTGAAAACAATGGCGGCGAAAATCAATTCATCATCTTCCTATGCTTCTATGTAAGCAACTCAAACTGATATATATATTGAAATAGAAACCAAACGTTTAACAAGGTTGAATCGGGAAGCTTAATCACTGAAAAGCTTCGAGAAACAAGAACATCCTACACTCAGCTCTAAACCTAGAAGACTTGACCTAAAATCAGCTGCTTCTCTTAGCTCAAACTTGCCCTATTTATACTACTCTATAATTAGAAAGTGCTAAACAATAAAGATAAAAGTGCTGAAACAATAACAATGAAATAACGTTTCTTCAGCTGCTTCTTCTCTTCTTCCTCTACTCGGCCACGTGGCAAGCTGGGACCCGTTACTAATAAAAACGTAAAAGTAATAAAAGCGTGTATTTGAAAATGCGTCTTCGAATAGATGGTAGTAATTCTTCTCTGCAAATATCATATTCTTGATTAGGTATTCTGCATGTCTTCTTCGTCTCTCTCCCTTGCATGTTCTTCCCTTCTCTTGCTAATTAATTCTACTCTTCCAATTAAGCTGGTAACAATGCCTCCCTCTAAAATGTCCTTGTCCTCAAGGACAAAAAGCTGGAAAACGTTTCTGAATATCCTCGCAATCCTCCCACGTCGAGTCTTCATCTGGAGCATTAAACCACTTGATGAGCCATTGAGTGACTGCCCTGTTGTTCTTCTGTACCAACCTGCGATCAACAATAGAGTGTGGTTCAAGTAAAATGTGCCCGTGTGCAGTGATTGTAGTAGGTAAGTGTTTTTGGCTGATCAAAGATCCAATTTTCTTCTTAAGTTGAGAAACATGAAATGTGGGATGAATCTTAGAATTCTGTGGCAATTCCAGTGTATAAGCCACCTCTCCAACCCGTTTTAACACCTTGTACGGTCCAAAGAACCTAGCTGACAGCTTGTTATAGGTGTGTGTTCTAGCAGATTGCTGCCTATATGGCTGCAGCTTCACAAACACCCAATCTCCCACCTGAAAAACCCTCTCACTTCTCCTCTTGTCAGTTTGCACTTTCATTCTATTTTGTGCCCTTAATAGTTGTTCTCTGATCACCCTTATAGTGGCTTCTCTGTGTTGTAGACTTCTATCCACCAATTCATTAGGAGATGCCAATGGAATGTAGGGTAAGTGGAGGGGGGCCTTCTGACCATACACAACCTCATAAGGGGTGGTTTGTAAAGATGAATGAAAGGTGGTGTTGTACCACCATTCAGCCAAAGGCAGCCACTGAGCCCATTCCTTAGGTCTTTCCCCACTCATACACCTTAAGTATCCTTCAAGGCACTTATTCACCACCTCAGATTGACCATCTGTCTGAGGGTGATAGGCAGTTGAAGTGTGCAACTGGGAACCTTGAAGTTTGAAGAATTCTTGCCAAAATCTGCTCATAAAGATAGGATCTCTATCACTCACTATGGTCTTAGGCATCCCATGCAACTTGTATATATTTTCCATGAAAAGCTGTGCTACTGAGCTAGCTGTGTAAGGGTGCTTCAAACTTATGAAGTGTGCAGCCTTGCTCAGCCTATCCACCACCACTAAGATGGTGTCTTTTCCTCCAGAATTTGGCAGTCCTCCAATGAAATCCATAGATATGTCCTCCCAGATCCTCTTAGGAATGGGGAGTGGTTGTAATAACCCTGGGGCTGCCACTGTCTCCCCCTTGCATCTTTGACACACATCACATTGTTGCACCCACGTGTGCACATCACTCTTCAGTCCCTTCCAATAAAAGATTTGCTTAACCCTATGGAGGGTGCTATGGATTCCAGAATGTCCTCCCACTGCAGAACTATGATAATGACTGAGAATTTTGTCCCTCAACTCCTTCTCTTTTCCTACCACTAACTTCCCTTTTCTCAATAACACTTCAGCAGTCCATGAATAGGAAGGTTTGTTGTTTTTACCTTCCTTTAAACCTTGAATGATCTTTTGTAACTTAGGATCAGTAACATATGTTTGTTTAATCTCTTCCAAAAAGGAACATTGATGCATAGAGATAGTGAAACAGCTTGCCTCTGGAATGACCACCCTGGACAAGCCATCTGCTACTACATTGTCCCTCCCTCTTTTGTATGCCACTGAGAAGTCATACCCTAATAGCTTAACCAACCATTTCTGCTGAGCTGGGGTGGCCACTCTCTGGTCCATTAAGTACTTCAAGCTCTGGTGATCAGTTCTCACAGTGAAGTGGTTGTCAATCAAATATGGTCTCCACTTTTGAACAGCTGTCACTAAAGCAAGGAGTTCCTTCTCATAAGTGGACAGAGCACATTGAGTCATGTTTAGTGCCTTGCTCATATAAGCTATTGGTTTGCCTTGCTGCATCAATACAGCTCCCATGCCAGTGCCAGAGGCATCAGTCTCAATGGTGAACTCCTTAGAAAAGTCTGGAAGTGCTAGCACTGGTGTGTGAGTCATAGCCTCCTTGAGGGAGTTAAATGCTTGTTGAGTTTCTTCACTCCATTTGAAACTATCCTTCCTCAGCAACTGAGTCAAAGGGTAAGCTATCTTCCCATAGTCTTTGACAAACCTCCTATAATAACCAGTTAAGCCTAAAAATCCTCTCAATTCCTTGATGGTTCTAGGAACTGGCCAGTCTTTCATGGCTTGAGTTTTGCTAGGGTCAGCTGCCACTCCTTCTGGTGTGATCACATGCCCTAAATATTCAATAGAAGAACTCCCAAAGGAGCATTTATTTCTCTTGATAAACAACTGATGCTCTCTTAGAATTTCCAACACTTCCTTCAATTGTGTGAGGTGTGAGTGCCAACTTCCACTGTAAACCAGAATATCATCAAAGAAAACCAAGACAAACTTCCTTAGTTGCTTATGGAAAATCTTATTCATAAGGCTCTGAAAGGTAGAGGGTGCATTAGTCAGACCAAATGGCATGACTAAGAACTCATAGTGCCCATGGTGAGTTCTAAAAGCTGTCTTCATAATGTCTTCTTCCTGCATTCTAATCTGGTGGTAGCCAGATCTTAGGTCCAGTTTAGAGAAAACATTGGCCCCATGCAACTCATCCAACAACTCTTCAATGACTGGAATGGGGAATTTATCCTTGACAGTGTTCTTGTTGAGCTCTCTATAATCTACACACATCCTCCAAGAGTTGTCTTTCTTTTTCACCAACACCACTGGAGATGAGAAGGGGCTGTTGCTGGTTCTGATCACTCCTGAGTCTAGTAACTCTTGCACAATAGCTTCAATCTCATTCTTTTGTATGGCTGGGTATCTATAGGGTCTCACATTGATAGCTTCTGACCCTTCTTTAAGGTGTATCTTGTGGTCATGCTCTCTGTGAGGTGGCAGACTCTTAGGCTCAGCAAATAAATCTGCATACTCATTTAGTAGCTCTGTCATTCCTTCTTCTTCCATGCATTCCATGGAATTCAGACTAGCAATGCATTCTAATGAACTTTCTCCTTGATCAGTGCAGTCCTGAGTTGTGTGTGCACTTAAGGGAGCTCCATCTTGTAAACTTCCAATGCACTGGTAAGCAATCTGAGATGGCTTCTGTAGAATCTTATGCAACTTCTTATTAGAAACTAACTTCACTGAGTTAGGTTGGAGACCCCTCAACACCACTTTTTTACCTAAGTGGTTGAATTCCATTTTCAGTTGTTGGTAATTACTGCATATATCCCCTAAAGTGACCAACCACTGAATGCCAAGCACTAAGTCACAGCTTCCTAAAGGTAATGTCATAACTTCTGCTGAGAATTCCACCCCATGCATCTTCCAAGTGAAGTTTGGGCACTTGAATTTAGTTACAAGCCTGTTTCCTCCAGGCACATTCACAGCTGATGGTTTCATATCCACTAGATCACATCCCAAAGATCTTGCAGTTTGTTCATCCAAAAAGTTGTGTGTGCTTCCATTGTCAATTAAGATGTGTATAGTTTTTCCTTTGGATGATCCAGTCAATCTCATGTTCCTAAAATCATGAGTTCCAGTCATAGCATGTATAGAGACCTGTGAAATCTGCTCATCTCCTTCCTCCATTCTCTCTTCTGTTACTACACTGGGGTTATACTCCAACTCACTCTCTACCATGGTCTCATCCTCAGAAATCTCCATCACATACATCTGTCTCTTCTTGGGGCAGTTGTGATCTCTTGAGTACTTCTCATCACACCAAAAGCAGAGGCCCTTGGCCCTTCTATCATCCACTTCCTGATTGCTTAGTCTTTTTGTTTGAGTAAAGGGTTGGCTATGGTTTCTGGGGTTGGTTGGGCTATTTCTGTTGGAATGAGGGCTAGTGTGGTTGTTGCTCATATAAGTGTTAGAACTATGGTTGGGAATCCTAGTAATGGCTAAAGTGTTTGGTCTGTTAGAAGTGTATGGAGCTCTGATAGGGTTTAGGGTAGGGTTTTGCTGTTGGATGGGGTGCTTTCTGGGAGATAAGGTGAGGGTCTGTTCCTGTAATTTGGCTAGGCTTACTACTTCCATCATATTTTTAGGTTTGAACATCCTAATCTGTAAGGAAATTTCAGGTTTCAATCCTCCAAGGAAGCAACTCACTGCATAAGGTTCTGAGAGATCTACACAATTCATCAACTCATCAAACCTATCCAAATAATCCTGCAGAGATCCAGTTTGTTTGAGATTCATCAGCTCAGACATCGGGTCTTCAAACAGCAGAGTGCCAAATCTGCTATTCAAGGCTCGTATGTACTCTTCCCAGCTCGGAATTTCTCTTGTAAGGCGAGCCTTCATGTATGTCTGGTGCCATTGAAGGGCTCTTCCTTCCAAATGTACAGCTGCCAGCTTCACCTTAGAATTTGAGGGTGTACCATCAACATCAAAAAATTGATCACACTTATACACCCAACTACGCAGATTTGTGCCATCAAACTTAGGAAATTCAACTGAGGAGCACTTAGTGGGCAGCTGATACTCTGTACCTCCTTGAAGATCCTCATGTGTTCCCAGATCTGGAGCTCTTCCACCATCATTATGTGAAGCAAACTGTTGTTGAAACTTAGCCATCATCAAAGACATCATAGCACGGTTTTCTTCCACATTTTTCGTGTTGGCTTCAGCTATTGCTTGCATCTGTTCCCGCATCATATCCATGTCCTTCCTTAGCTCAGCAAACCGTGTACCATCTGCCATGTTTATCCTTCCCAGAACTATGGCTCTAGATACCAATTGTAAGCAACTCAAACTGATATATATATTGAAATAGAAACCAAACGTTTAACAAGGTTGAATCGGGAAGCTTAATCACTGAAAAGCTTCGAGAAACAAGAACATCCTACACTCAGCTCTAAACCTAGAAGACTTGACCTAAAATCAGCTGCTTCTCTTAGCTCAAACTTGCCCTATTTATACTACTCTATAATTAGAAAGTGCTAAACAATAAAGATAAAAGTGCTGAAACAATAACAATGAAATAACGTTTCTTCAGCTGCTTCTTCTCTTCTTCCTCTACTCGGCCACGTGGCAAGCTGGGACCCGTTACTAATAAAAACGTAAAAGTAATAAAAGCGTGTATTTGAAAATGCGTCTTCGAATAGATGGTAGTAATTCTTCTCTGCAAATATCATATTCTTGATTAGGTATTCTGCATGTCTTCTTCGTCTCTCTCCCTTGCATGTTCTTCCCTTCTCTTGCTAATTAATTCTACTCTTCCAATTAAGCTGGTAACATTCTATGCATCTTTCTTCACCTTTTCAATCAAAGCCCAAATTGAAGGTGTGTGCTATTTGTGTGTGTGTGTGTGTGTGTGTGTGTGTGTTTATTTATTTATTTATTGTTTCGACTTGGCATTGTGTTTAATTTGATTTTAGAGAAAAGTTTGAGGGTTTTGCATTTCGAAAGGAGTAGGATAAACTTATGTCCGGCTAGATTAATCGACGTGTTTACGGAGCGTAGAAATCGTGAATCTTTGTGTCTCAAATATGATTTTGGCTTGAAGCTTTGTACATGTGGACATGCTTATATTTATATTTCATACTTGGGTATATTCTAAGGCCTCGTTTGGTTGCGGAGATTAGACGTGATTAACTAAATAATTGGACTTTGTTTGATGTTTCGTATCCCTCAATAACTTGCCTGGTCGACCTGCAAAATATTATGTTATCTTGTCTTTTAGGGAGCTTTTTTGTTTGATGTCCCGGGATCCAATAAAAAAAATCTTATCTTGGCTAATCCTTTCTTGGAAACGAAACGAGGCCTATGTCGAAGACTATTTTTCCCTACGAAAAAATGCATAGTCTAATTGTTGTGTATCTATTTTCAGTTGAGCTCAAGGCTACCACTGTTTGACAGACGGCATTTCGATGCAGAAAGTTCGAGCAGCGTTAAAGGTTAGCTTTCACTTTCTTACAAGCGCTTCAATCGTAAGTTTCAGTTGGATAGTAGTTTTTGTCGATTCTTTTGGACAACCTCAGTATACTGATATAATACTGTCCATTCTTTCGACAATTTTGATCCGGGTTTTATTGTGACAGTTATGCAATCATCCCCGATCGTACACGGAAAGCTAACATTAAACGAAATTTCATCAAAGAGGAAATGCATTCACTTTGCCATCTCCGAAGACCAACAGAGCTCTCCTTCTGAAGATAGCAAGTTAACGAATATTCCTTACGAACAAATCGAAGGAGCTGACGGAAAATCGGGATTTGTTTCTTTTTACGGACCTAATAAACAGAGAAAAGAAGAAGAAAAAGACGAAGTTTTTATCCCGAGCCCTATGACTAATCGAAATAAGTTGTTGTGGGTTGTTGGTCCGACTGTTCTCGTTGCATCTTTCGTCTTTCCTTCACTCTACTTGCGGAGAATACTCTCTTCAATTTTCGAGGATTCTTTATTAACTGGTATATACGAGCATTAATTATCTTTGGTTGTTTCTTGAGTACTATGTTTCCTTATCGGCTTCGAAAACAACACTAACGGGTCATTCTTTTTTTTTTTTTCTGCATGCAGATTTTCTAATTTTGTTTTTTACGGAAGCCCTTTTCTACTGCGGAGTTGCGATTTTTCTTCTACTAATAGACCGTATGAGGAGATATAAGAAGGGGCCCACCATTTACGCATCGACCAATACTACGAACGTTGGGCCTCATTATGGATACAGAATCTCTTCTGTTGCTGTTTTAGTACTTAGTCTTATAATCCCGACAGTGACAATGGGTTTTGTCTGGCCTTGGACGGGGCCCGCTGCTTCTGCCACCCTGGCACCGTACCTTGTCGGAATCGTTGTCCAGTTTGCATTTGAGCAATATGCGAAATATATTGGCTCACCTTCATGGCCTGCTATTCCTATAGTCTTCCAAGTAAGCTCTTTGATCCGTTAATTTGCAGAAACCGACCTCGAATTATTCTATGATATACTTAAAATGCAAATAACCTCTCTTCGGGACAAGCATACAGAAACTGCTCGTTTTTTTCGTAAGAAAAGAAATCGAGTGTTCAAGATTCAAATTATGCAAAAAAAAAAAAAACCTATTATTTCACGGCATGCATTGTTCATATATTATTTCAATTAGTTACGGGTTTTTAGCAGGTTTCCATCGTAATTAGCACTATTGGAAAACAAAATCGATTTTTTGCGGAAGTAAAAAATCAATTCCAATTCCAATCCAACAAAATTTGGAAAAATCGAAACAAAAAAACTTGTTTTGAAATTGGAAAAATTTCGGATTGGAATCGGGCGGAATTCAGAATTTCCGTTTTCTTAGCCTCCTAGAATAATAAGGGCAAGTTGCATGTCACCCCCTATAAATTTTTAATTTTCGTACTTTACCCCCTCAAAATTGAAAAAAGTTAATGCCCCCCTTCCAAATGTTTTACTTGTTGCTCATTGCCCCGATAGCAAAATTCCGATGGATTATTAACCGGAATTGAGTAGTTCTTTTGCACGTGCCCCTTAAAAACATTATTTTTCTACACATTGCCGCTTTAAAATGTTATTTTTGTTGCACGATGCCCACCGAAAATGAGTTTTGGGGCAAAGTGCAACCAAAACAGTATTTCGAGGGGGGTTATCTCTTTTCTGAATTTTCAGGGGGGAAAGTGCAAAAATGGGAAATTTATAGGGGGTGAAGTGAATTTTGTCCTAATAATAGTAATATAAGTGTACTTTCTGAAAGAACAAAAAAAAGGGAATTATTTTTAGAAATTAAAATCGGATCAAAAATCAGAATCTAATATGTATTCCAATTTCGTTCCGAAAAAAAAAATCGGAATTTAAGAAATCCGAAATGAAAAATATTGTTCCGAAATCGCTATTCTGATTGGAATCGACAGAATTCGAAAACTCCTCTCCAACGAGACACTACATACTTGACTATTCTATAATCTATAATTGTGGTTATATTACAAATTGCAATTTCAAGGCATGCTAATTTCACGATCGATTAATTACTTTTTTTCTAATTTTAATTATTTTTCCGTTCGACTGTAAAGGTTTACAGGTTACACCAACTGAACAGGGCAGCACAATTGGTGACAGCTCTGTCATTCACTGTGAGAGGAGCGGAATCGACACCACACAACCTCGCCATAACCGCCTCGCTAACTACCCTTCTCAACGTTCTTCAGTTTCTTGGCATCGTATGTATTTGGTCGCTTTCGAGTTTCATCGTCCGATATTTTCCTTCTTCCACGGCAGAATTTTGAAGACGACTGAGGATTCGGTTAGTGTCGTAACTTATAGTTTCATCGTACCATGTTGTTCGTTTATTTATGGGCGTTCGACGAATTTTAAAATTTGATTTAATAATAGTAATTAGTAAATCTTATCGCCACCTAGGATTCTTGACGAAATCTTATTTTTTTCTTAGTAAATTATTTTTTTTCGATTTTTTATTCGTAACTTATGTGACCGTCGGTCGTTCGTATATCTAGTCTGAATTTCTTGCAATTCTTTCTAATTTGGTCTAGAAATAAAATATGTAATAAAAAAAATTTAAAAAAAAAAGATTATTTATTTAAATTGTTCTTTTGCAGCATGTGACACTTAACCATGGTTGTGTTACTTTATTTATTTATTTTAAAGTATATATGTTTGATAATCAAGGCATCAATTATGTACCTTCTCCTTTGGATTTATTTTTGGGGTTGAATATATAATTATTGATTTTATTTGGTACTTAGTGATTAAGTCAATCTCAATTATGGTCTTCATTGCATTTTTTAATTTGAGAGTTGGTGCACCTCTTCTTGTCTACACTCTCTTGGTTTTACTACCAATGGAACCAACATTAGATGAAAATACATTATTAGGTTTATAGTTTAGACCAAATAATTATTCACTTGATGAATGCATTCTTTTTTATTTATTGTTGTTCATCATACAAACATAATTAGAGTTTGCATAGTTACGTGAATTGGCTTGTCGCAACAGTTGGCTGATAATTTTACAATATATATACATTATACATTAATAAATAAAGAGCAAATTACGACCACCCCTGAGATAAGGTTAAATTACGGAAAAAAAATCCCTCATGATTGGTTAATTACAACTACCCCTCAATCATGAATCTTCTTACACGTCCACCCTTGTTGTGTCAAATTTAGTGGAATCTTTTAGATTATGTGGAATGTTCTCTAATTTGTACCTGTTTTATCCCATTCGAGCTCCACATTTTGAAGCAAGATGATCATTAGATGTGTTTTTTGACTTGTAAATATCAGATTGTGGTGCATCAGAAACTGCATTTTTGCACACAACGAATATAAACTAGAGAATATTCCACTTAATCTAGAAGATTGTATTCATGAACTTTACACCATAAGGATGGACGTGTAACAAGATTCATAATTGAGGGGGTCTTTGTAATTACCCAAGTATGAGGGTTTTTTTCATAATTTAACATTACCTCAGGGGTGTGGTTGTAATTCACCCATATATAATTTGATAGTTGCTAGGTAGTCCCCGTATGTAAGAAGAAGCGATGACTAGAGAGAGATTGGAAAAAGTTCCAAAAGAGTTTGTCCCATCAAATTCCACTCTCTCTCTCTCTCACACAAAACAATCTTCATGGACCAATTTATGTCACTATAGCTACTTGATCCCTCTCCACTCATTATATTTACATTTTCCACCCCAATTTTTTTCAAATTGGACTTATTTGTCTGGTGAATTACAAAATTACCCCCTTAATAAAAACATTGTTGTTTTCTTGCTCTAAAGTACAAGTTTTCACATGGGTTTGGTTTTAGTTTTGTCCTTAAGTTAATTGCATTATGAATCAAATTATTAGTCTCTCCTGTCAATAAATTATTATTAGTCTTTTTTCTCTTGTATTAAATTTGGTATTAGGTCAGATTTGGTTTAGGGGAGATGGAATTATCTGTTCAGATATCAAATGACAAAAGCAGTAATACAATTATTAAACCAAATTGAGGATATTTGACTGTCTTTAATAAAAGGTCTTATCTAAATTAAACCAAATATGTATTTTATGATTCATTTAAAAGCATATTATTAAATTGCAGGATATTCCAATATTAAATTGTCCTATATTCTAAAATCAAGAAACATTTATCGAAACTCTTAATACTTGTGCAAATCTAAAAAACGACTACTGTTATTTAGAAACGGAGGGAGTAGTGTTCTGCTGTCATTCTTACAATCTTTTAATAAGACAATGATGTAATGGATTTATACCAATTAAGTTGACAATTGCTGAATTTCATCTGACCTCATTTCTTAAAAAAAAGTCAAATTCTCTTAAATATATTCCAAAATATTCTTCATAAAATCTTCATCAACTTTGTGTAATATATATTTTTTTATTTTATTTATTTATTTTTTGTTTCTATTCCAACAAGTTGGACTCCAATATTATAAACTTAGATAGATCCCCACCTAATTTCTTGATTTTTTCCCAAACATGGTCCAGTGGTCTCTCTCTCTCTCTCTCTCTTAAATCTTATCTTCTTCAATTTCTTCAACCTCAAAAAAGCAACTCAAAACATGCTCCATACTTCCATGATTGCCCCTGTGTAACACAATCCTAAAAGGTTAAAAGGTAGACAACAAATCTTAAATAAATTATTTAATTTAAATCCCATAAATAAAACTAACTTGTGTCACTAATAAACTTTCTTGTGAACTATATTAAACATTAAAAAAATATATATATATATATATATATATATATATATATATATATATATATAAAGACTCAACCTTTTGTCTAGTCCCATAACAATCCTATGTTTCTGCTGCTGTCTTAAACCAAAATATTCATCACACTTCAAAATTCTTCCACTTTTTTTTTTTTTTTGTGTGTGTGTGTGTGTGTTTTTTTTAAATGGCAAATCTTCACTTTTGCCATCTGATGCTTCTCTTTTCAATACTTACATCCATATTCCATCCGATTCTCGGAGAAATAGATTCCTCGGATTCGTACTTTCTCATGCGAATAAAATCCGAATTCATCGATCCATTCGGCATTCTCGACAGCTGGCTACAAGATTCCAGCATCTGTACATGGAATGGAATCACATGCACAGATGACAGACACTACATTCTAACCTTAAACCTATCGAACTCCGGTCTGAGTGGAACCCTCTCCCCGGATTTCTCGAACCTCGAATTTCTCGAAACGATCGACTTATCTCAAAACCAACTCACCGGTCCGATCCCACCCGATTTTGCAAACCTTAGAAACCTCAAAAAGCTTCTCCTTTTCTCGAATTCTCTTACGGGCGCGATCCCTTCGCAGATTGGCCTCTTGAAGAATCTACAAGTACTAAGAATCGGAGATAACTTTCTCACCGGAGAAGTTGTGAAGAGCATCGGAAACTTAACCGAGCTACAAGTTTTGGGGATTTCTTATTGCCAGTTCAATGGGAGCATACCGAAGGAGATTGGAGAATTGAAGAAGCTGAGATTTTTCGACATGCAGAGCAATATGATTGGTGGGGTTTTGCCTCGAGAAATTGGCGATTTGAAAGAGCTTCAAATGTTTGCAGCGTCGAACAACGAGATCGAAGGGGATATTCCTCGTTCGGTTGGCGGTCTTGAATCTCTCCAAATCTTGAATTTGGCCAACAATACCTTCACCGGCTCGATACCTAAGGAGTTGAGGTATTTATCCAATTTGAAGTACTTGAATTTGCAAGGTAACGAATTAAGTAGCGAAATCCCGTCTGAGATAAACGATTTGATTCGTTTGGAGACGTTGGATTTGTCGAGAAACAATCTCGCGGGGCCCGTAAACATTCTCACCACAAGCCTCAAGAATCTTGAAGTTTTAGCCCTGTCGGAGAATCTTCTGACAGGTGGCATCCCGGAGAATTTCTGCATGAGATCGAATACCTCGAATCTCCGGCGACTTTTTCTGTCGGATAACAAACTCTCCGGCGATTTTCCGGTGGAGATACTGAACTGCACATTCCTCCAACAACTAGACCTCTCCGGCAACAAAATTGGGGGGTTTCTGCCCCCCGAAATCGATAGGCTACAAAGCTTAACCGATCTCTTGCTCAACAACAACAGCTTTGGTGGAAATCTACCGCCACAAATCGGAAACTTGACCGACTTGGAGAGCCTTTTCCTCTTCGGAAACATGATCGAAGGTGGGATTCCTTTAGAAATCGGAAAATTGCAGAGGCTGAAAATTTTGTACTTATACGACAATCAAATGTCGAAAGAAATTCCATGGGAGCTAACGAATTGCACGAGCTTATCCGAAATCGATTTCTTCGGAAACCATTTTTCGGGTTTTATTCCACCGACTATTGGAAAGCTCAAGAATCTTGAGATTCTTCAATTGAGGCAGAACGAATTGACGGGCCCTATTCCTTCGAGCTTAGGCTACTGCAGAAAGCTGCAACGGCTCGTTTTAGCTGATAACAAGCTCGAGGGGCCGTTGCCCCCCACTCTTTCGTTCCTCAACGAGCTTTTTCTCGTCACTCTATACAACAATTCGTTATCGGGCCCACTCCCACAGTCCCTATTCAATCTCAAAAACCTCTCCATTGTTAACTTTTCGCACAATCGGTTTAGTGGATCCGTTCATCCGTTAACGGGTTCGGATTCTCTAATCGTTTTGGACTTGACCAACAATAGTTTTTCGGAGAATATTCCTTACGGAATCTTCTCGTCTAGAAACCTCACTCGCCTTCGCCTCGCGCGTAATTTTCTCACGGGTGTTGTGCCTTCCGAGCTTAGCCAGCTCAGCGAGCTCCGATTTCTCGATTTGTCGTTTAATAATTTAACGGGGGAGTTGGAGAAAATCGAGCTTTCGGGATTGACGAAGCTCACTCATCTCATGCTTAGCAATAACCGATTTTCGGGGCGAATTCCCACCTCATTAGGGAGATTGCAAGAGCTAGGTGAATTAGATCTTTCGTTCAATGAATTCAACGGAAGTGTTCCATCGGAACTCGGTAACTGTTCGAGAATGCTGAAGCTTTCCCTCAAGAGCAATCGATTATCCGGCTCGATCCCACCGGAGATCGGAAATCTCGGTTTCTTGAACGTGTTAATCCTGCAAAGAAACAATCTATCCGGCGCAATCCCGCCCACAATCCAGAATTGCAAGAAGCTGTACGAGCTCCGGCTATCGGAAAACAGCCTTACCGGAAAAATACCGCCGGAGATCGGCGCACTTGGGGATTTACAAGTGATTCTCGACCTGAGTTTCAATCGCCTCTCCGGCGAAATCCCACCGTCGATCGGAGATTTAATGAAGCTAGAAAGATTGAATCTTTCTCACAATCAACTCGCCGGAAAAATTCCTGTATCGCTGGGGGAATTATCGAGTTTGCACCGGATTAATATATCGGGGAATCTTCTACAGGGGCAAATACCCACTAGTTTTTCAGGGTTTCCGGCCAGTTCTTTCTCGGAGAACGGCGGCGGTGGGTTGTGCGGGGCGCCGCTGGAATCTTGCTCGGAATATTCCGGCGGGAGGAAGGTGTGGATGTCGGAATCTGAGGTGGCGGGGGTTATAGTGGCGATTGTGTTCACGTCGACGCTGATTTGCTTGTTCATGGTGTATCTGATGGTGAGGATGTGGTGGAACTGGAGGAAGGTGGCGGTTTCTTGCTCCGACAACAATGGCGGCGGATTTCATGAGCAGAAGAAGGAGGAGGAGGAGTGGGTTTATGGAGAGGAGGTGGTGGTGGAGAAGAGTAGTGACCATCGCTTTTGGAATTCGAATTCCATGGCGGCGGCGGCGGTGGCGGCGCCGCCGCAAGACCGTGACAAGTGGATTTCTATTTTTCAGTTCAAGTATTTCAGCTCAGCTGCCACTAAGATTAATAATCCAATTGTTTGATTTAATAATAATAAAAAAAAAAAAAACATTAATGAATTTTTGTGTCTTTGAAAATATGTAAATAATCACGATGTAAACGAGTCGATTTCGAGTTGAGTTTTAGTCTATTCGACTCTGATGAGTGATGAGTTTAAGTAAATTTCAACGAGCTCGAGCCTAAATACTTAGGATTCAAGCTCATACGAGTGTTCATGAGTCAATTAACGAGTTTTCGTACACCAATATTTGTTTTTCTTTAGTAATTCGTAATTGAAGTTTTCGTACGTGTGCCACGTTACAATTCGTAATTCAAGTTTCTACTGCGAATAATTTTTTTTAATGGTGTCAGCACTTGCATCATTTGCAATCCTAAGAAGAGTGCATAAGACGTAGGTGACGTCACCTCGCTATTGGTATTTTTAAATTTCGTTTCAAGACGAAATTACTGATAATGTAAGCGCTTGCATCATGTGCAGTCTTAAGATGAGTGGATAAGACGTATGTATCAGCTTACGATTGATAATTTAAGTTTCGATCGAAAATAATATCGTTGACAATGTAAGCGCTTGAGAACTTATATGGCGACAAAGATATGTACTGGCGCCAAAGAAGCAAAGCTCATTGGATGAAGGAGGGCGACAGAAATACTAAGTTTTTTCATGCTAGGGCGACTACTCGAACAAAGAGGAACCAAATGGACAGACTTAAAGACAAGAATGAGATTTGGCAATCGGAGGAAAGGGCGATTGAGTCGATCATCTCCGAGTATTTTGCGGATATCTTCCGGACTTCTGAACCCGATGAACAAGAGATAGATGAGATTTTGCAGACGGTCGAGCCGCGGGTGACTGCGGAGATCAACCAGAGGCTCTTGCTCCCTTTTTCGGCGGATGAGGTAACTCTAGCGCTTTCCCAGATGTCACCCCTTAAATCTCCCGGCCCTGATGGCCTTCCTATATTGTTTTTCTCAAAATATTGGCACATAATCAAATCTAGCGTATCCGATTGTGTCTTAGATTTCCTCAATAACAAAAACCTCCCCCATGCTCTTAATTTTACATTTATTGTGCTTATCCCCAAGTTGGCCAAACCCGAAAAAATCACAGAGTATAGGCCCATCAGCCTTTGTAACTTAGTCTATAAACTTGGGTCTACATGCGACCTTACATGAACACCATTATTTCTCAAACACAGTCAGCATTCGTTCCAAACCATTTCATTACTGATAATGTGTTGGTTGCTTACGAGGTGAATCATTTTATTAGGACTAATCTTAGCAAAACTTCTAATTACATGGCCATTAAACTTGACATCAGCAAGGCATACGATCGAATCGAGTGGATTTTTTCTGAGGAAAATCCTAGCCCGACTTGGTTTCTGGCCCCACTTTATTGAGATTAGGGCTGGCAATCGGACCGTGTGAGCCGAGCCTGGGTCGGCTCAAGCTCATATACCATCGGGCCTCATTATTATAGGCTCAAGCTCAAATACCATCGGGCCTCATGCCTATAGGCTCAAACTCGGCTCACACATTTTTTCGGGCTTCGGGTTTATATCGAGCAATAAACAAATTCATATTTTACAACTTTGCAGTCGACATATTAAAGAAAAACAAAAAAAAACTTCGCAGTCCAAGCGGAAAATCTAGACTATTCATTGAAAATCAAAATAAGCTTAAAAAATAAATAACTAAATAAAAAATCATAGTCTGTTCATTAAAACAAATAAAGCTTAATATTGCAAATATTTAATCCTTAATTAATTATACTAAAAAATGCATCCGAGGCCAAAATGAAAAAAAAAATCATAAAATAAAATAACTAGAAGCAATTCTAAATGTCCTTAACTCTTTTCGAAAATCTTGAGACCTAAAATAAAAAAAAGGACAACAAATATATATATATATATATATATATATATATATATATATATATATATATATATATATATATATATATATATATATATATATATATATATATATATAGTCGGGCTTTATTCGGGTCGAGCCATGGTAAGCTCAGACTCGGCTCATAGTTTAATCGGATTTAATAAAACGGCTCAAACTCGGCCCGGCTCACAATTAATGGGGCTCGGCTCAAATAAAATCGGGCCGAGCTATCGGGCTTCGGGTAGGCCCGGCTCGATTGCCGGTCCTAATTGAGATTATTATGCTATGTGTTTCCACTGTCTCTTACTCTTTTTCGTTTAATGGTGCTCAGTTTGGTTTTGTTAAGCCGGCTCGGGGGCTTCGCCAGGGGGACCCTCTATCTCCATACCTATTTATCTGTTGTGCGGAGGTTCTAATTTCAATGGTGCACGGGGCAGTGGCGGGTGGCAATCTCCAAGGGGTCCAATTGCCCCGTCGCCCCAGTTATTTCTAATCTTTGTTTTGCAGATGACACCCTTTTATTTTGCCGGGCTTCTCTTTCACACGTTCAAACATTGAAGTCTATCCTAGATAGTTATGCGAGTGCCTCGGGTCAGGAGTTGAATTTTGAGAAAACAACTATGAGCTTCAGTCCTCAAACTCCGATGCAAATTCGAGTTATGGCGCATGACATCCTGGGCTTCCAGATTGTTGATCAACACGAAAAATACCTTGGAATGCCAGCAATACTTGGACGAACCAGGAAAGAAATTTTTGCAAGTCTACGAGAAAGAGTTTGGTATAAAATACGCGGATGGGGGGAGAAACACTAATCTAAAGCAGGCAAATAAACTCTCATAAAATCAGTTTTGCAGGCGATACCATCATATATCATGAGTTGCTTTGCTTTGCCAATTGGGATTATCCAGGATGTTGAGGCAGCGATCAAACGATACTGGTGGGGGTCAAGAACGAATAGAAAGATGGCATGGATTTCCTGGCAGAAGATGTGCAAACCTAAAAGTGGAGGGATGGGGTTCAGGGATTTACGGTGCATAAATATGGTGTTACTAGCGAAACAAGTTTGGTGTATTTTGACCAATCCGTCTATTCTCTTGACAAAAATCCTAAAAGCCCGATATTTCCCTGATAGTGACATCCTTCACGCGTCGACAGGTTCTCGTCCGTCGGCCACGTGGCAGAGTTTTATAAAGGCTAGACCATTTCTTCTCGTTGGCCTACGGAGACGTATTGGTGACGGCTCTGACACGGCTATATGGGGTGATCCTTGGCTTAGGGAGGACGGGAATTTCCGTGTGATTACCCGGAGGTCTCCTTCCTCTCCATTTCCGAACAGAGTCGCTGACCTTTTGGACCCAAGTGGCACTTCTTGGGATGTTGATTTGATCTACGAGAATTTTTGGCCAGTCGACCACCAGAGGATTCTCGAAATACCTGTCGGCGGTCCAAATTCCAAGGATTTATGGGTTTGGCACTGCGCAAACTCGGATAAGTTTTCTGTTCGTAGCTGTTATTATTTAATCTTTCAGTCAGGAAGTTTTGGAGTGGGACATGGAGGGAAGGCTGCAACTACCTCAGGTGATGTCTTGGCTCCCCATGGAAATGGCTTTGGCAGCTTGCTTTTCTACCTAAAATTAAAATTTTCTTGTGGAGAGCATGTTTGGATATCCTGCCCACAAACGTGACCCTAACCCAACGAAAAGTGGCAGCTTCGTCAAGCTGCCCCCGCTGTGGTTTCCATTCTGAGACCATAGTACAAGCGATTCAAGAGTGCTCCCGAATGCGAGGAGTGTGGACTGCTGCCCCATTTTTTCTACCAGACCTTGGCTATCAAGACACGATGTGGCAGCTTCTTTTGAAGTGGAAGAAACACCTTTCCGCGAAAATTCTTTTCCTTGCTACGGTTACTGCATGGTGTGCATGGTTCCATCGTAACAAATACTTGTATGAAGGGACAACCTTCGAGACAATAGACATGCTATCTTGGAGTACGACGTTTCTCCATTCTTACACGCATGCGAATCATGTATTACTTATGCATCAGGTTTCTAGCATCATCGCGTCATTTGGGTTCCTCCTCCCTATGGTACACTCAAACTCAATGTCGACTCGGCGTTTCCAAAAGGGCAAGACTTCTATCGGGTTTCTATCGTGGCGCGAGATTGGGAGGGACGATGTACTTTCTGGTGTACTCGGCAACTCTTGGGCAGGCCTCGACCGGTCGATGGTGAAGCACAAGCAGTTCGGATTGTCGTGGAGTTAGCTAGTCAAAAAGGATGGAACTCGGTTATTGTGGAGGGTGACTGCCTTCAAGTCCTCCGAGATCTCCGCGAAGGCAACAAATCGCTGACTAGTTATGGGGCAATTCTTGACGCCATTTATGTTTCGATACAATCTTTCCTTCATTTGGAATTTCACTTTGTTAAGCGATCAGGTAATAGGCTAGCACACGCGTTTGCTTCTTCTGCTGCTCTTGCTTGTAATGAAGGAACCATTATCCTTCGAACTTGGCGGTTTTTGCCTAATTAATGCATTTATTCTTTCCCTTCAAAAAACTAAGATTAGTGAATAACATATGCTTGTCACTTAAAATGGGTTCTTTGAATTAGATTTATATTAATCTTAAAAATTCTTTTTTTTTTCTCTTTTTTTTTGATGTAAAAAATATTTTGAAAGACAAAAAAAAAGTGTGAAAGGGCCAAAGCCCATCTCGATCGGTTGAAAAGACCAATAAAAGCCTTTAGAAAGATAAAGGTCCATTAAATTCCAAATGGGTCCCTTCAAACGTCTCAAATAAAAGCTATAATTTTTTTTTCTTTAATTGAAAACAAAGTTATTAATTTATACATTAATTAATAAGTTATTAATGTATAATATTATTTATTATTCTTAATATCATTATTTTCAATAAATACTGAAAATATTTAGATGAAACATTAGACGGTGAAGAAACTAAAGAACTGCGCAAATGCAACAATGATATGAATTATTGCAACACAATGAATGTTGAATATTGTGATGTATATGTATTTGAAGAGTTATATTCATATGCATTGTTTATTCAAAGGGTAAATTACAACCACCTCTGAGGTATGGTTAAATTATGAAAATCCCTATTTTATTTGGATTATTACAACTATCCCCAATTATAAATCTTCTTACACGTTCACCTTTGCGGTTTCAAATTTAGTGGGAATCTTCAAGATTATACGGATAATTATCACTTTTGTATCTGCTTTATTCCATGCGAACTCCGCATTTTGAAGCAAGATGATCATAATATGTATTTTTTAGCTTGTATATTCAGATTGTGGTACATCAGAACCTGAATTTTTATGCAAAACGAGTTCAA